CTCAAGGAGGGTCCATGGGGGAGGAGGGGGAGTGGGGGGAGGAGACATGAGGGAGGAAATGGAGATGGGGGGACGTTGGGGGGAGGGAGGGAGAAGAAGGATGGATCAGGGAGGGAGAAAGGGAGAGGAGGGAGAACTGCGGAGGGAGTTGTTGTCGGTCCCCCAGCGAGCGCAGACGACGCCAGCTGCCAGGGGGGAGAGAGAGGGAGGGGTGAGACGCGAGCTCGCCTCGCAAGTGATGTTGCCGACACTGCGCCCCATAACCCTCCTCCTCCTCCTCCTCCTCCTCCTCCTCCTCCTCCTCCTTCTACTCCTTTTCCTCCTCCTCCTCCGAATCTTCCTCCTTCTCCCATCCTCCTCCTCATCATAATCCTCCTCCTCCTCCTCCTCCTCCTCCTCCTCCTCCTCCTCATCTTCATCCATCATCCGCATCATCATCATCATCATCATCGTCATCATCATCATCATCATCATCATCATCATCATCATCATCATCAGCATCATCATCATCAGCAGCAGCATCATCATCAGCATCATCATCGTAATCATCATCAGTATCAGCATCAGCAGCAGCATCAGCAGCAGCATCATCATAATCGTCATCATCACCATCAGCATCATCAGCATCCTCATCAGCATCATCAGCATCATCAGCATCATCAGCATCGTCATTATCATCAGCAGCATCATCAGCATGACCAGCATCAGCATCATCATCAGCATCATCAGTATCGTCATCATCATCACCATCGGCATCATCATCATCCTCATCAGCATCATCAGCATACTCATCATCACCAGCAGCATCATCATCAGCATCATCAGAATCATCATCATCATCAGCAGCAGCAGCATCATCAACAACATCGTCGTCGTCCTAATCATCATCAGTATCATCATCACCATCGTCATTAACGGCAACAACAGCATCGCCATCATCAACATCACCGTCATCAACGTCATCAACAACATCAACATCAGCATCACACTCAGAATCATAAGCATCATCAGCATCATCATCATCATCATCATCATCATCATCATCATCATCATCATCAGTATCATCATCCTCAGCATTATCAGCCTCGTCATCAGCAGCAGCATCATCATCAGCATCATCATCGTAATCATCATCAGTATCAGCATCAGCAGCAGCATCAGCAGCAGCATCATCATAATCGTCATCATCACCATCAGCATCATCAGCATCATCATCAGCATCATCAGCATCATCAGCATCATCAGCATCATCAGCATCGTCATTATCATCAGCAGCATCATCAGCACGATCAGCATCAGCATCATCATCAGCATCATCAGTATCGTCATCATCATCATCACCATCGGCATCATCATCATCCTCATCAGCATCATCAGCATACTCATCATCACCAGCAGCATCATCATCAGCATCATCAGAATCATCATCAGCAGCAGCATCATCAGCAACATCGTCGTCTTCCTAATCATCATCAGTATCATCATCACCATCGTCATTAACGGCAACAACAGCATCACCATCATCAACATCACCGTCATCAACGTCATCAACAACATCAACATCAGCATCACACTCAGAATCATAAGCATCATCATCATCATCATCATCAGCATCATCATCATCAGTATCATTATCCTCAGCATCATCAGCCTCGTCATCATCAGCAGCAGCATCATCAGCATCATCAGCATCATCAGCATCATCAGCATCAGCAGAAGCATCATCAGCAGAAGCATCAGCAGCAGCATCAGCATTAGCATCAGCATCAGCATCATCAGCAGCATCAGCATTAACATCATCATCCCCCTCCCAGATCCACCTAGCCCTCCTGCTCCCCATCCACAGCCCCCTCCTCATCATCCTTGTCTTCATCCTCCCCTTTCTCGTTCTCCTCCCGTTGCCATGGTCATGGTCGCTTGCGTCCCCTTCTCATCATCATAATTCTCTTCGTGAGCGCACTCTGATCAGGATATTGGAGCGAATCCGCTCCTGGAGGAACTGCCCTTCCAGCAGGAAAAGAAAATTACCAGGCAAGTCAGAAGTTCCCATCCTCTCCTTCCACTTCCTCCTCCTCCTCCTCCTCCTCCTCCTCCTCCTCATTCTCCTCCTTCTCCTCCTCCTCCTGCGTCCTCCCGTGTCCGCGGTGTGCGGTCCAGGAAGAGTCGCTCTATCACCGCAAATGGTCTTGCTGTATAAGGATGAGGGCGGCATTTCCGATATAGGGCCCAGCATCTTGCTCCCAGTGCAGAAGCTCCGTGTCAGCAGTGCCCGTCCAATTTTGCCTCCGCGGCGTGCCCCACCAGGCGTGGACCCCCCCCCACGAGGCCACGCGCTTCCCCGAGGAGGGCGTGGTCGTAGATGGCCCTGCTCCGCTCGGAGCCCCCGAAAACCCCCTCCCGGGTCTGGGATTGCTGTGTTGGGGGACCGGCCGGTGGGGCTCCCGCGCCGCGGAGCCTCGGCGGCGGCGGCGCGGAACTGCCGCCGTGGCGCTCAGACCGACCGAGACTGCGGAGTGGGCTCGGCGAATCTGTGCGCCACAACAAACACATCGGCTGACCACTGCCAGCCCCAGCCCCAGCACGACCGAAGCGACGCGTCGGCGTCAAACTTCTAGAGATGCGGGGCCCCATCCGGCACCGCGCCGCGAGGCACTGAGTGGAGCGCCGTTGCATGAAAAGAGGTAAGCGTCCAGGCGGCCTTTCCCCTTCAAACGGAATTGGACTGAGACGTCCTCATAGATCGGTGCGCAGCTTTGGGGGGCGCGAGGGAGTCCAACCCAAGGGCGTGACCCAGTACATCGCAGCGTGCTCGGCGCTCGAGGGGAGCCCGGTGAGCCCGCACCCAAAGGTCACGCCGGCGAAGGGTCACTCTTGCGTGCAGTCGGATAGATTCCTCCTCCTCCTCCTCCTCCTCCTCCTCCTCCTCCTCCTCCTCCTCCTCCTCCTCCTCCTCCTCCTGCGGGGAAACGCTCCTCCGTCTGGGAGGTGGGCGCCGGCCGGTGCCGAGAGCCGGGCGGACGGCTCTCGCCCCCGCGCTGGAGTCTGGGAGCGGCCCTGCTCTGTCCGCCACGGATCACCAGCCATTGTTGCGTTCGTGGTACAGCCAGGGCGTTCGTTGACCTAAGGAACCCTAAATAAGGAACAAGGCCCCTCTTTTCCATAGGTTAAACTTCGATTTCCCATACAAATGCCTAAGAGAAACCCGAGGCAAACTGTGAAACAATCAAGGAACACCGAGCCCCTCACCAACGAAAAGCGTTCCTTCTTCAGGGCCCCGACTGCAAGACCGCCTCTGGTTGGGTCTGTCGGGATCTCCGAAGCCGTCTCAGGGTAGCCCTCGGAGCCAGACCTGATGGCCACGTCAAGGTTACATGGGTTACGTGGACCCTGCCCTACACAGGCTGCAATTCTGAAGAGGTCGACTCCTCCTTAATTCAAGGCGATGCCTTGGCCGGCAAAGGAGTCGGGTTGGCGGTGGAAGAAGGGGGGAGTGGTCGTGGTTCGAGCAGATCGGAGCGAAGTGTAAATGCGAGGGTTGTTCTATTTTGGTTCCAGCGCCCCGCGTCTTTGATGGTGCCCAGACCTCATGCCACGGCCTCCGTCCTAGTCCTAGTTGGGAGTTTGCGTCTGGGGTGATGGGATAGCGGTTGCAGAGAAATTCGATCATCGGCCCCATGAGCCCCCAATAACTGGGACCGGTTAGGTCCCACGTTTTGTGCGAATCGCAACAGGTCTGCGACTCTCGATGGCAGGCACCTGGAGGCTGCCTTTGGGCCTATCACCCGCAAGGGTAGGAAGAACCTATCTCGCATCGGCAAGGGCGTGCATCTAAGGGGACTGAGGAGGAGAAGTAGGAGGTGGGGAAGGAGGAAGAGGAGGAGAAGGAGGAGGAGGAGGAGAAGGAAGAGGAGGAGGAGGAGGAGGACGAGGAGGAGGAGGAGGAGGAGGAGGCTGAGGAGAGGGGGGGGGGCAGCGCAGTTGCAGGCAGCGCAGGCTCGCCGTGGCCTCGGATAGCCCTCCTGCTCACAGGCGTCGCTCTCACCGTGTGCTCCGCCACATCTGCCGACCCCGTCGGCGTGTGTGAGGGGCCGGCGTGTCCGTTCGCTGGCCGTCGGTCTCCGTCGCTCGCTGGTCGTCGCCTCTGCCGTCCCCTGTCCCTGCGCCGCCCCGTTCCCTGGGACCGTCGCCGCTCCCGCCCCCCGTTCCCTTGGCCCTTGGCCCTCCTCCTCAAGCGCTGAGCCCGTCGCCGCTCCCGCCAACCCTACCCCGGGCCCTCCTCCCCCGAGCGCGCCAGCCAGCGCGGCATCGAGCAGCGTCGTAGGTGACTCGATGGGGGAGCCTCTTGCCTTCGATCCCTCCCCCGCCAGGAGACGGGGGGACGGTCCCGGGGCTCCCGGGGGGGGCTCCCGGGGGGGGCTCCCGGGGGGGCTCCCGGGGGGGGATCCCGGGTGAGATACGACTCCCCCCCGGGGGATCCCAGGGCCCAAAAAAGCCCCAAGACGGGCCAAGGGTGCCCCATGAGGCTCCCAAGACGGTCCAAGAGAGCCTCGACTCGACGAACGATCTGTCCAAGACGCCTTGAAGGCCTCCCGACAGCCCAAGAATCCTGCAAGGCGCTCCAAGAGAGCCCCAAGAGGAAAAAACACTAATTTCCCAGAAAGATCTTGAAGCATTTCGGCGTTTTTTCCGCTTCCCGACGCTCCGAGACGGCCCAAGAGGTCCCCCAGATCGCCCCAAGACGGTCCAAGACGACTCCAGGAGAGACCCAAAACGGCCCAAGAGGGCCCCAAGGCGGCCCAAGATGCCCCCAAGACGGCTACAAGTGGGTACCCAGACAAGGGATCAGAACTGACATTTCGAGCCCTCGGCCCCGAGAGGCTCCCAAGAGGCCCCCAAGAGGCCCCAGGAAGCCCCGAGAGGCCCCCAAGAGGCTCACGAGAGGCCCCCAACAGGCTCCCAAGAGGCACCTAAACTGTCCCCCAGAGGCCCCCGAGAGCGCT